TTATCACTAGAGGATCCATTCCTATATAAAAGGAAATTAAGTATGAAATGACATTGAATTTACCAGAACCATCATGGGATTGAAGGACCACCCTGCAATATAAACTAGATACTTTGCACCCTCAATGGCTTTATAGATATCCTCCCATAGCTTTTTGGGAGCTCCACATAGATCAAAGGGAGGTTGGAAAGCAGAAGAATGGTGAGCATCATGATAAAGTTTGACCTGACAATTGGACCTTAGTGGAAATGTAGCATCCCTCAGCCCTTGAAATTCCCAGTCATTGTTCACCATCTTTGCCCAACTTGGTTCCAATTCTGCTGGCTTGAACAATAACTGAAACTTCAACTGAAGTTTTGGGTTTGGTTTTCCATTGTCCATGAGGAGAGGGAAGAATCCATTGATCAAGCCTCCTTTCTTCAGTAGCTGCTGAGCCTGGATATGGAACTTCCCCAATATAGAAGAACATGATGTTTTCAGTGTAATAGTTATGCATGAATCAGCTGGATGAGCACATTGAATCTGAAAGGTTTGGTTCCACACACGGTTGCTTTCTTGGCTAGTTTTTGCAAACTTCTGGTTATCTATCTTGATAGTCACATATGCAGGCTTTCCATTTGTACATATGAACCTAAAACAAGAAAAACACTGAAAAAAAAAAAAAAAAATTAATACATGGCATGACTTCATGAAAACAATGAAGAACTTCATTGTAGTGCTAGTAGCTTTATGCACACACTCAATACTTGTGTGCACATAATTGACATAACATGTGTGCATGTGTGTGTTGATTATGGAACTTACATGGAAGCGAAACAAAGGTGAGTATGGTGAGGCATTGAAGATGGTAGCTTCAATTGTTCCATGGAGGAGTTTAGGAGTTTCCTCTATAACTTTTAAGGCTAAAGTATTCATGAGGAAGAAATGGGGGAGATAGATAACTATTGAGTTTGGTTTAACATATGAAGGATTTCGTGCCAATTTACAATAACCAATTATTATGTGACATTTATATAGGTGAGTGAGTTTGCTGTTGCAGATGAAGAAGCAAAGGGAACCTTGGAATGCAATTGAAAGTGTAAAAAGTGGTGTAACTTGGCATTTATGCAGACACAATCCAAGCTTCAAGTATTTGCCATCACAAGTTTTAGCTTGAAGCTAAGTTTCTTGAACCCAAATCTCAATTTACCGTAATCAGTAAGTACAAGTCAAAATACAGGTCTTGTACACTCTTAGTACATTGAATACATCATATACTTGTCATTCAACCGATATATAATTTTTTAGGAGGATAATTATTTTATAATTATGGCCAAAATTATTTTTAGGAAAAAAAAAAATAACGTGTCCTTATGTCATATGACCCTGCTTTGGCATATCTCTAGCACAGACCAAAGAAATTGAGTTGGCTGTATATTACTCATTGTCTGTGGGTTGTTAGAAACATAACATGCGTCAGTTTAGCATACCTAACGGATAAGTTCGTTAAGTATTGAAAACTAGTTGGAAGTTAGGGCCTAAAAGTTCATAAGTCAGTTTGATCGAATTAGAAGTGTGTGATAAAAATTCTTCAAAAAAAAAAGTGTGTAATAAATTAGGGTTTCAATAACTTTTTAGTAGGATTTAACTTGTTTTCATTTTTGTTATTTTAAAATGTTTTTTTTCTTGTTTTAGGTTCCTATGACATTGTTTTGTTTTACTTTAGTCTTTGATGTTACTATTTTAATTTCTATAAAATTATAAACAATCAATATAGGTTTCTCTTATCTTGAAAGATTTTTATTTAGTCAGTTATTTAGAAAAGATTAGGTTTGTTTAATTCAATTTCTTTTAGTCATGCATCACATAACAGAGGCAATGACTAAAATGAAAGCAAAGGATTTTACATGAACCAAAGCTATAATTTTTTAAAAATAAAACAAGAACAACACTATATTATTGAACTATCTGTTGAATGTAAAATGGCAAGTTCGAACTATAGTTATATAAAATATTTAGATGAAAAATTTCAGTGTCCATAATAATTCTACTGATTCGAATAAAATTATTTTTTGAAAAAGATATGTGTGGTCTCTTACTAAAAGTAATGTAAAATGTCAAACTCAAAATTTGATAATCATATATTTTCATATAATTATAAATTTTATTTTAATTTATTTCAAATTATTTATTTTCTTCGAAATTAGGTTAACAAATTTTTAATTTTATTCTTATTTGTAATAGTTTTAATTGCAAACTAGAATGTCATTTATCCATTCCAGATCGGCTATTCTAGAAAATGTGGGGGTGTACAGATTGCATTCCGGACTGGCCAATCCAAAATAGGGTTTTTTTTTTTTTAATTGGGGATCCAGATTAGGACTACACATTTCAAATTGGTGAATTCAAAATGAACAAAAAAAATAAAATAAAAAATAAAAAGGTGTATGTATATGGAGAGAAGGAGGGACAAAGAAAAAGAAAATGGTATATTTGGAAACTTCATAAAATGATGGGTGCAAGGAGAAATTCCTAAAAATAGTTTATCTCAAGCATAGTTTTAAAAACCGGACCGGTCATCGAACCGGTTAAGGTACTGGGTCAGTGGGTCAAAGGTTGAACCGGTGGGTCACTAGTTGAACCGCATGACTTGATTTTTATTTATTTTTATTAAAAAGTATTCATATTAAATATATTTTATACTTATAAATTTTAATAAATTCATATCTTATTTTAAATTTCAATTTTTCTATCTTATTTAAAATTATTTTTATTTTTATTTTGTAAAAAAATACATAAAAAAATTACATGTTAAACGGTATATTAATACAAATTAAAAATATAAATAATATGTACATATATAATATGCTTGCAATTAATATCAGAAAATAATATATGTAATATTTACATAGATATTGCATTATTAAATATATAATTTAAAATTAATAATATACTATAAAAGTTATTTAAGTTGTATATATTGCAAACAAATATATTAGAACAAGTAGTCATTGTTATATTTAATAAGACTCCTTGCTTTTTCATTAAGAGATTCAATTTTCATTATTATTTTTGTGATTTATGATCCCTTAAAAAAATGTAAAAAAAAAAAAAAAAAGTGGTTGAACCGGTTTGACCCACCGGTTCACCGGTTGAACCGGAAATTTGACCGGTTCAATCCGGTTTGAAACGGGTCGACTGCATAATCGATCCAACTTCAGATTCGGACCGACTGGACCACCGGTTCCCGGTCCAACCGGTCCGACCGGCCGGGTCGGTCCGAGTTTTAAAACACTGATCTCAAGTCCAATTTCCATAAATGTTACTCGATAAAGAATTAAGCTAATTTGTTTTGTCCTAATAAACCAATTAGATTAAGTTGAACCATTAATTTTTAGACCGAAACTTATAGGTTTTTTTTGTCTACTATTTTTATTTTTATTTTTTTATGTAAAATTTAAATAAAGTAAGACAATTTGACTTGACTCATAAACTAACATAATGGTCTAAACAATCAATTTGACTCGGTCCAAATTATTAGAAGAAGATTTTGATCCAATTCTAAAATGTAAGAATATCTTTAATAATTATCATACCTTTCTTAATTGATATAAAAATTGTCCTTTTTTCTTCAACTTACATCCATATTTTGAAACTTGACTATTCATTGAATTAACTATATATATATATATATATATATATATATATAAAAGGAGGGATCTGTTTATTCCAAAAGTAAGTTTACTTAAACTTACTCTATTCGATAATTCATATTTTACATCAAATTTTCACAATTTAAATTAATGAAATATAGTATCAAATAGTCTTCAAAGTTTTTAAAAGTTTGTAGACTTAATGTATGTATCAAGAACTTTAAACTTAACGATTGAATCGTTAAAATTTGATGTAGAACATTAATTATCGAATTGGGTAAGTTTAAGTAGGTTTTACTTCAAAAGTAAACGAATCCATCATATATATATATATGGAGCGTATCAGGTGAGACGGTATTTTATTGTGAGAGATGAGAGGGTTAAATATAATCCTTAAATTAATTTAATGAATTAGATTAAAACTTCTTAAAAACCTGTCACGTGCCCCTCCTCCTTCCCTTGTGTCCAGGTTTTCCCAAACCTTAGTCACATTGATTCACCATCTCAAAGCCCCAACCATCTTCCACCATCGAACAAAAAGCTCCTACCTGTCACAGAAAGATGATTCACATCGTCATTCAACCACGACTTGCCACCATCACGGAAACTGCCCATTGTCGTTCAGTCACGACTCACCATCGTTGCAAATAGAAGATGGAGTTTTGCTCCACTTGTAGAAGCATGTTGTAGTGTGAACTGCCTGACCGATTTTGAAAGAGCCGATTTTGAAAACTGGCACTTTTAAAATCGGTCGCCGACCGATTCTAAAAGTCCACTTTTAAAATCGGTCACTGTTGACCGATTTTAAAAGTCCTACTTTTAAAATCGGTCATGCCCTGACCGATTTTAAAAGTCCCACTTTTAGACTTTTAAAATCAGTCATACCATGACCGATTTTAAAAGTTTTTATTTTTTTTTTAAATATTTGACTTATTTTAGGAGGATCCCTGAACAAAACCTGCAAATTAATAAAATACCAGACAATTCATATATTTTTAATATACCAAATTACATACAAATAACAAGAGTTGGTAAATGTCAACCATATATGTAATCAAAGTAACTTACAAATTATGTACATCCTAAACTACAAAATGAGTAAAACTATAATCATAACTCGTAGCTAGCCAATGTTTCAATGAAAAATGTAGCCCATTGCTCCCTAATGGTGTTTATATCTTCTAGCGACAATGGTGATCGATCTATAAATATCTGTTAAGAAAATTTAGAACAATTAGAAGTAACTCTTAAAACATGATAAAATGCAAACTTAAAATAAAAAATTTTAAAATTCTAAAACGTACTTCAGTCCACCCAGATACTATTTGTGAATCAACAATAGTATGCATTGCCTTCATTACATAGTATCCGCACTCATAGTTTCCTTTTTGCTTATGAGACTACAAAAAGAATATAAAAACCAATTTTAGTAGTAATGGTAATTCAAAAGAAAATACCTTAGAAAAAATATCATTACTAAAATAACTTACTTTAAGAGAGACCCAAAGCATTTTTTTCTTCAACTTTGAACCTTTAAGCATATGGTATCCTTCCATAGCCCTAATGATAAAAGGACATCATTATTATATTTTAAAATAAAATGTAATGATAAATAAAATAAAGTAGTTTTTTTAAAACAACTTACTTATCTAATAATTGTTTAAAATCTGCAGGAGGAGGTTTGTGCATCGAACAAATGCATACAGATATATTGTCCATAGGACAAATAATCAGAAGTTGCCAATGAGCACTGCATTGAGAAACTATCAGTAATAGACAATACATTTTTTAACAATTTATAATCAATTATATACAAATATACTTACTTAGAAAAGTAAGGAACTAAGTAAACTTTTTTATTTGATTCAGACATCCAATTTTGGATGTAAGCTTGAATTTCTTCTGTCTTGTTCCCAATTTTTTGGATTAACTCGGGTTCCAAAAATCCATAAATGTGATCATTCCCTTTATCCACACTCAATTTATGGATAAATCTACAAGGTTAGAAATAAAGTTAGAAAAAAGCAACAAAACATAATTAAAATTAATTCAAATACTTACAATAACTACAATTGCAAAATTGATGTGTTCAGCATGCAGTGCCCGTTTGTAATCTCTAATATGTCGCTTTGGCTTATATATAAGGGGACATTACTACAAAAGCCAAACACTTCAGGAGCCCAAGGGACCTGTTTGGGTCGATTGTCATCTTCCATATCTGCAACCAATCTCCGTAGTTTTTTCATCGGAGATAGATTTCTAGAATGGTTAAGCATAGCCTTTGGTGGGGCAACAACATCCTATTAAATAAAGTACACAAATAATGTTATACTACATTATAATAAAATAACACCAAGTTAATTTTTTTCCATCCGTAACTAGTCCAAGCCTCACATTTCTTGGCTCCTTGCCAAAATTTGGAAACATAGAATCAATTTTTTTCCATTGCAAACAATCTGCTGGATGCCTAAGACTTCCATCACACTTCCTTTCATCTTCATGCCATTTCATTAGCTTTGCGTCATCCGCATTAGCAAACAAACGTTTTAATCTCGGAACAATTGGCAAATACCATAAAACCTTCGCTGGAGGACCCTTAGTGCTCACATCATAATCATAATCATCTTGTTTCTTTTTATATCGTGACAACCCACATCTTGGACATTGATGCAACCCTTCAAACTCACCATGATATAACATACAGTCATTTGGGCACGCATGTATCTTCTTATACTCCAAACCCATAGGACACAACACCTTTTTTGCCTCGTAGTTACGATTAGGCAATGTGTTACCCTCTGGAAGCATTTCTTTCAGTAGCTCTAACAATTCTGTGAAGCTTTTATCACTCCATCCATTTTGATGGAACCAACTTCTCCATGAGAGCTAGTGGTTGATTCCTTCTCTTCTCCAAGGTTGATATGATGTGAAGGATGATCTCTTCAAGGGTATGGAAGTGGAGGATTTGATGTTTGGGAAGGTGAAGGGTGACGCACAAAATGAAGGAGACAAATGGATGGTGTTTGGTGGTGTGCAGGAAGTGAGCTTACATAGGTGCTTTTTAGACTTGGATCATTGAGACCATTGAGAAGATAGAATCTTTTAAGCATCCTTAGGTAGTACAACAGAACGCTATGAACCATTGATCCAGTATTTTCGGTCCTTAGGATTTATGATAAGTATATATATATATATCTTTATTTATCCTTTCGGATAGTAAAAAGTAGATAGCGAACTCCCAGGAAGAATATTGAAACTTATGACTATATATGTATGTCATTTCCTAGCTAGCCTTTAATTTGAGAAAGTATTCCCAACAAGCTCATATATATGAACAATATAACTAATTACGTACTCTACAATATGTGATGTCAAGTGATGTTTATCAAATAAATCTACTTTAAAACTACAAATGTGGATTGCATGAATTTAATGGATGGATTGTTGATATAATTCATAAAATTTTTCTAAAATTGTTGATTAGATCAATGTTATTAAATTTGATGGATAAAGCAATAGTTGAAAATTGAGCATCTTAATTTGTAGGCAGAAGCCAAATACAGATCTTGACTTCATTGCAAGAGTGACCTAGAGGCAGCTTTGGAGATGGAAAAATTAAAAGGAAGCTTAGAAAGTCAATTGCTTATATTTTTATTTATTTTTACTTATTCTTGTAAATATCCATGTAAATAGGCTTTAGCCACATATAAATTAAGCTTTTTATTAATATAACAGTTTTTGGGTTGTCATTCCCATTGTCATATCCTTTTCTTGTTCTGTTTCTGTCTGCCATATAATTTTGAACTAAATCATCACACAGATACTGTAATAATGGAAAAGGTCCTTAAATCCATATATGAATATAAAAAAGAAAATAGATCCCTTGAGAAAACTCACTTTCTATCTAAATGACAAAAACCAGAAAAATGAAATGTAACCACATTTGTCTAGATACAATTTGAACCAAATTCTAAATCATATTCTAAGTGAGAAACCAAACTGAGGAGATATTAGGCAAGTGATCTCCACCATATTATTTATGAGTCGAGCCTGTATATGAAAAGAAAACAAACATAAGAATTATGACAGTCAATCATATTTATGAAAATAAAACATGATCATAAGAATGGACAACAAGCATAATGTTCTGGACAGTAAAATATTATATTGGACAAAAAATTAGATTTCTTACCAAAATTAAGGAGATGATTTTAGAGGACAATTATGGCTATCATGATATGCATGTTGTCCACATGTTTTACAAAGCCTTGTCTTTTTTTTGTTTTTGTTCAACAACCTTCTCCTTACCACCTTTAATTCGTTTGTCGCTTCCTTTTGTATCTGAAAACTGTGGTGGAAAAATCTCCGCTTCTTTAGGAATATTGGATCTAGTAAAGGCTTGTAAATCATTTATTTTAGTTTGTTTAGAATCCCCTTCAAAATCAGCCAATTATTTTTCATTATCCATGTTTCCATTTATCACAACAAGCAATTTTTTTCTTTACTTTGTCCAGCTTTGTCCATGCACTTTAAAAAGCTTTTCCATGCATCTGAGATGAGCTTGCTCTCACTTTCTAGTTTAGAACACATTTCCAAGACATTGTCAACAATATCAAAAATAGGTTTTCTATTTGCCAACTTAGTCCACCTATTCACAATATAATTACTTGGTATTTCATTTAAACCCTTCCCTTGTAGAACACAAAGTATGTGTCTACAAGGTATTCTATGAGATTTGAACATGTTGCATGAACAATTTGCATTGTGATATGAAGGATTATAAACCACTTCTCGTATTTTACCATTCACAATTGTTATCAATTACTTGCAATATTTGTTTTCCATCTTCCTCTTTCTTATTTTCAACTCCACAATCTAAACATGCAATCCATAACTCATTTTGAAATATATAAAAATTCTCATGAGTATAAACATTTCTTCCATGCTTCTCTAAATCGCGATCCAACTTCAATGTTGGTATAGAATGAAGTGAATCATTATCAGCAAGTAACTCCTTCTGCCTCTATGCTTCTATTGTAGAATCAAACCTCATCCAAAATTCAACTAGGCTAACACGAGGATTCAAAAAGTTACTATAAAAAGAATTCTCACTTTCTAGTTTTAAGGTTGTTCTCAATACCCCAACTAAAAAAATGTCCTTAAAGTAAGCTGAGATCCACATGTTTCGATGTTTCGAATATCATACATGTGTGAGAGCAGTCATTCTTTTCTAATTTAAACCTAATTATTATAGATTTCCATGTTTCTTCAAAGTCATCTGGTGACTCCAATCTCCAAATACATGACTTGAAATTACTATTGAACTCCTTATTAGCATTCAATGACACACCTATTTTTTCAGAAACTTTCTTCATAATGTGCCACATACAAAATCTACGAGAAGAAGAATTAAAAATATTTTCTACAACAATTTTCATGGTAGGATCTTGATGAGTAATTAAAAGATTTGGTTGATGCCCCCTAAAAACTTTTCAAACAACCAAATGAATGATTTAGCCTTCTCATATGCTAAAAAGGCCGCACTAAATGTAACACATTGCCTATGGTGATTTACTCGAGAAATGGAGCAAAAATCATTGAATATTTGTTTGTTTCATATGTGGTATCAAATGAAACAAGATTCCCAAACAAGGAATAATTTTTCTTAGAAATGATATCCACCCAAAAAAACATACTTTAGTCTACTTTCTCCATCCACCTCATATGAATAGTAGAATGATGGATTAATTTCTCACTTCTTCCTAAAGTTGTCAATAAATACATGTGCATCAGAACCTTTAATTGGGATCTTCAAATCTCTTGAATAATTTTGAAGATCCCTTTGTGTGCACCCCATATTTTCATAATCACCAAACTGATTTATCAATGGATGGTACATTTTTGAAAGTCCAATATTAACACTATTATATGCATGCAATAAACTCTTACAAACAAGATTCACTTTCCTTGCTAATCTTAGAAATTGTCTCTTAATAGGTGAAGCAAAGACATGTGTATGACTTTCATAAAATCGAATTAGCTCATATTTACCTTCCCCGGCCAGTTTGAAAACAACCTTTGCATTGCATCTTTCTCTTGTAAGACTCCTTTGCCTAGACTTAGTAGTTGAGTTGCTTTGTTCCATAACCTTTTTCTTATCTGGTTTATAACCTTCTTTTGAGCAAACAAAATACTTCCAACGCTTCACACCATCTTTACCTTTAGTTTTTGCTGAGCAATGCACACTAAATCCGACATTATGTGCATACCTTTTGTAAAAAATGTCACCTTCTTTTAAGGTATCAAATTGTTGACCAACCTTGGACTTCAATTTTTCATCACAATTCGACACCCATTCATTTTCCTAAAAAGTAAAAAATATATAATTTAAATAAAATAATAGAAAAAAATGGTGTTAATAATAAAATAATAGCTTTTTTACAATCAAACAAAGTTACTTGAAGTGTGGGTGGCCTAAGACTCGTGGAGTTAAGGTCGGAAGAAATGTGGAACTGGGAGCTTTGAATCTCTTCAATATCAATGTCGAGGGAAGGGCAAGTCATTGATGATGAGAGATTTTTTTTACATAGATACATACATCCCTAAATTCAATTATTCATAAACACGGTACCATTCAAAAAAAATATCATTATAACTAGGAATATAAAAATAGAAATTATAAACACAACAATGACATGAAAGCTAAAACATTAAAACATAAAATCATTTTCTTATTATACAATTTAAAACGTAAAAAGGAATAGGAGAATGAGATGTAAGCATACCTTGCAGGTTTGTGCCAATGATCGATGTTGACTAGAAGGGAGGAGATGAGAGAATAAAAAGGAGGAGGCCGTGGAGAAAACAAAAATAAGGGAGTAACAAAGGAAGGAGGAGTATTGGATGATTAAAGATTTAATTATCTTATTTAATTTGATTCGTTAAATTAATCTAAAAATTATATTTTAATCATCTAATCTCTTAGAATAAAATACCCTCTTACCCATATATATATATA